TGGTTGTCACATGTACAAACCTCTAATACAGAATCTGAATAAAATATACAAGTCTCATAGTAAAGTTCTAGAATAGAACAGAACAATAAATATAGATAACTTGAGGGCACGTCTGGAATGAACCGCTACCTCTCAAGTAAGTCTAGAAGCTCTAATATGAAGATAAGTAATAAGCCGGATCTGATAGAGCTGTCAACCTACACAACTGTGTAGAAGCAAGGGTGAGTACCAAAAGCAACAGGTACTCGCAAGTAACACTAAGCTAAGCTAAACTAGCAGCTACAAACAACTCCTTTCAATCCCAACCGAACCACCGAAACTTCATTCTAACAGCGAACCAACAACCTATACTACACAATTCATAATCAACAGATATATCTAACAGTGTCTCAACATCAATCTCATATCCTCATGTAAGAGCAAATAGATCATATATCACATGAAGAGGGGCAAATAGGAAAAATCCACACACCACAGACAAAGATGAAGTCAAATGCGATGCAAATGCAATAATGTTGTCATGTAGTCGTGATGCATGTCTGTCCTAAGATACACATCTGTTGACGTAATCAGACCGCGCTGAATACTCAAATCAGAACCCATGGGGGCCACACATGGACCATGTATCACCGCCGGAACCAGATCCCATCGGCATCCAAATCGCTAGCCGGAGCTAGTCCATCTCATATATCTCTAGCCGGAGCTAGTCTCAACTGTGTCTCATATCCATCCATCCTCATATCAGTGTCTCAGAACTCATGCAACAGATAGTTCACACATGGGATGAATAATGAATATGCACATGTCATCAATCACAATCATATCACGATCACATCATAGTATTACACATTATCTGTCTCAATCACAACCATATCACGATCACATCATAGTATTACACATCATCTGTCTCAATCACAACCATATCACGACCACATCATAGTATTACACATCGTCTGTCTCAACATCAATGTCTGTATCAATCATAGCCTACTCATGCTCTTCTATCCCCTCAATATCAGTTATCACATGACTTATTCAACAAATTCAAGTCACATATAACACATTTAGCTCATTTTATTCCCCATCTTTCAATTACAATAATTTCAATCAACAAATAAACTCATCCTCAATCCCCATTACTCCCTAACACAATTAGGAAAGTAGTCATGTGTAGTCTAAGAGTTTAACAAAGTTTAGAAGTCACTTGCCTCAAAACACTTCAACTAGTAACTCAAATTTGAGTTTTACCCTTCCGAGCACGCTCCAAATCACCACAATCTATTCATAAATGGAATCTCACAATCAATACGAATCTAACAACACAAATATTGTGAAATTTGGAGAAAAGGGTAAAATGGTCAAAAAAATCTCGTTCCGAAAAATATTCTCGAAATCTGGAAATTTTTAGTGAAAAATGTTCCCCAAGAAATTTAGAATCCAATAGTGAAAACCGTTTCGAAAAAGGAGTTGAAATGAGTTCACAAACTCAAATTTTCTATTAAATTCGGATTAGGCAAAAACCCCCAAATTTTTTAGTTGAGATCTCAAATTTTGATGTTAAAATCCATAAATAATCGATGGAAATCAAAGATCTAAGTTGGAAATAACTTACCCAATGAATTCCTTGCGAAAACCCACTTGAAATCACCTATTTTCGAGCTCTCAAAGTCTAAAAATGGAGAAATGGGTATTTTTCAAGTTGGGGGAAAATGGCTACTGATTTTTGGCTTTAAAAAAGAAGAAAAAAAAACTGCTGTTGCAGCTAAAAAAAAACACAGCAGCTGAAACAACAATAACACCAAAGTTTAAGTCCCCGTTGAACCCTCGGGATTCGTTCGGAATCTCGTGCACACAAACTAAATATGTACCCCCACTAAATTCGACGTTCCGGACTCAATGGAACTGTCGGAATTTGAATTCGAGGACTCCTTGACCCGAAATTCAATAAGATGCCAAGAAACTAGTTTAACGCCAAAAAAAATTCGAAACTCAAACGGAGCGTCTAAAAATTCAACCAAGACTCATTCTAGACTTATAATCGCCTCCCGAAACCAACGGTACTCTCGGAATTTCAATCCGAGCCTCGAAACCTCATATGTTGACCAAAGTCAACTCTTTATCACAATTTCACAACTTTAGCAACTTAGGACCTCAATTCTTCGTTTCAACTCCAAATTCAACTCCGTAACTTCACACAGACCCGTTTCGACATTCTAAAATTGCCGGAATCGACGGAAATCCGATCCGAGTCCCGAAACTCCAAATAACTCGAAAAAAACACTTTTTAACCAACTTTAACTCATAAAAACTCAACTTCTCAAAAACTCAACTTTTTACCAACTTTTCCTCAAACTAACTTTACAACCACAAAACATGGGACTAGGGGCAACTACCGAAAGGGCAAAATAGTCATTTCCACGAAAAATTACCAAAATGACCTTTCGGGTCATTACAGAAATTCACTGTCTACCAAAATGGTTATAACTATTACAATGAATAGATCATAAAGGCCATAATATAATTATATATACAAGAAAAGATGGAGTCATGATTGAGTATTTAATTATGGAATCTCAATTACCACATAACTGTTAGGACCAAAATAAGCAGGTGTAACACGGAAGCTAGCAAAGCAAACCTCGAAAGACCACGAGTAAGAAGATAAACGAGAAACACACCAGAAGAGACAGATTTAACGTGGTTCGGTCAATCGACCTACGTCCACAAAAGAGATGAGCAATCCACTATATAAACATGAGAGTACAAAATATAGAGAGAAATAACCTCAACCAATTCACTTGGAATACATGGGAGGTTCACACAAGTGATAACGTATCAAGCTTGTGACCCACAAATTCTCCCCCTAACCAAAACTCTCAAAGCCCTTAAGACTACATTGTGAATGCTGATTAAGTTAGAAGGAACAAGCCTATATTTATAGAGTCCTAAACCTTTCCTACAAGAAAAGGACTAGTAAAATATTAAAACCTTTTCCTAAAAGGAAAACCTATTTATGGTAAGAAATTCAGGGCAAATAAAACCCAACAATAACTTATAGACGCTTATGGCCTATTACTTAATGCCTTGCGGTGATAATCTCTCTAGCATTAGGGCTATTAGCCTATTATCACACTAATGTTGTTAATAGATCAAATTATTTCGTAAAATGGATTTCATTTAATTATTTACCTGAGTTTCATTTGTATGTGCTTACCTATTGAATTCAAAATTATTTTAAATGTTTTCTAAAATATAAATATCACACAAAACTAATGAATTTACCAATTTTATTTTCACTCCTAATCACAGGTCTTCCTTAGTGGAGCAACGGTGGGATCACAAAATCCAAAATATTTAAATAATGAATTTTATAAAAAAAGATTTGACTAAACTCTTAAACATCAATGTTATAGTTTTTTTAAAAAAGATAATTTTTTTTGTAAATATTGTGTCTAAAAAGTTAATCAATCCACGTCTAATATTCTTTCATGATATGTTAGAATTCACAATTGATTAACGAAGTAATAAAACATTTAACTTTTTAGAAAAGAATAAATAAAGATATCTTGTTTGTATTGGAGCAAAGTCAACTAAATAAATAAATAAATTTATGTTTTGTTTGAAATTATAGAGACAGTCGATTTTCTTTGTCACAGTACTATTGTACAAATCAATTTTTTTTAATAATCATGATGTTCTGACCAATTTATGTGCATCTAATTGTATGAAGTAAAAATTGAGCTAGATATAAGACAAATTAAGAGGTGATTCGTTGAGTATAGAACAGATCAAAGAGCTAGATATTTTTTACTTTGTCAATACATATAATTTAATCTCTAACTTAAATCCTCATACAAAATAACATAAATACTTTAATTTTACAAATGTATACTAATAAAGAAAATATGGGAAATATCTGAAGTACGGATTTGTACTTCTTTTTTTGAATTAGTAGTAGTGCATGGCAAGTCTCAAAAAATTAAACATTCTCTTTAATAAACTTATTAAGTATTAATAATTGGTATTAATTGAAAACGACAGAAATTGATTTTTAATAACTTAGTTCATGAACAAATGCTTCTGAAATTAATTAATAAAAATATTTCAAAATAAAATAAATAGTCAAACTTATTTTTAAGTATATCACCAAATATACTGGAGTAGTTGAAACATTTCAATGTCAAAGAAATCAACATTTCTAGTTGGCAACAAGTAAAATCAACTAACTTGAAGCCTGCATCCATCATAGGAAGGTTTTTTTTTGCTTTGGAGTCCGCTTTATCTGAATTCACAATGGAAAATTTCTTTATGGGGAGTAATTAAAACGCTTTCTATCAAGTATCAAAAATGATTTTATATCTAGAAGTCAAACTCGAGACCTCTGATTAAGCATGGAGGAATACTTACCATGCTACCACAACTTTTGGTTTTAAGTTTGATTTCTTTTTTTTACCACTAATGACCTAAAGAAACAAGAATACAATTCTCTTTTTTTAACTGTATGAATTATGATTATCATTCAATTATTATTATAGATATTTGTAAGTCTCAAACTCTGAATGTCCATGAGAGGCAACACATGGAAACCAAAATGGTAAGAGAGTGGAAATATTGAAAATTAACAATCATTTTCCCTTAGCAACATTTTGTGGCATGTGAAGTGATCTGTCTCTTTGCACATTCATATGTTGTTCTCATGATTTTCTTTATAGCAGGTAAATGATGTGAAAATAATTCAATGGAAATATTCAAAAGTGATCAAGAAGTGGAGTTTTTATAAGTAAAATTTGAACTGGTCCTTTAGAATATGTTACATATTCTTTTACATTTGAATTGGTCCATTAGACAGAGCTACCTCTCAAGGTGTTTTACTGTAAATACATAGACCAATGAATCCCCAAAAGGCAACAATTCTCAACTAAAAAACTTAAGGTTATCTCCTTTCTTCTTACTCTAACTAGCCACATTTGGGAGGCTAGGTGGTGTAATTTTCCGGCGAAATGAGGCTTCAAGGTGGCGGCCTTGCCAAGGGTCGTCAGTATTTGCCACAAATCTTAACGGCGTTGGCCATATTGGTTGTTGCTAATGTAGTGTCGGCAGACCCTTATGTATACTCTTCTCCACCACCTCCGATGTATGAGTATAAGTCAACACCACCTCCTTCTCCTTCTCCGCCACCACCTTACGTGTACAAATCTCCACCTCCTCCCTCACCTTCTTCCCCGCCTCCATATGTTTATAAATCACCTCCTTCCCCTTCTCCATCACCACCTCCACCATATGTGTATAAGTCTCCACCGCCTCCATCACCATCACCACCTCCACCATATGTGTATAAGTCTCCACCGCCTCCATCACCATCACCACCTCCACCATATGTATATAAGTCTCCACCGCCTCCCTCACCATCTCCACCTCCACCGTATGTGTATAAGTCTCCACCACCTCCACCATATTACTACAAGTCTCCTCCTCCACCATCACCTTCACCACCACCTCCGTATTACTACAAGTCTCCACCTCCACCTTCACTATCACCTCCGCCACCATACTATTATAAATCTCCACCACCTCCTTCACCATCACCACCCCCGCCATATTATTATAAGTCTCCACCGCCACCTTCTCCTTCACCTCCTTCACCATATTATTACAAATCTCCACCACCTCCTTCACCTTCTCCTCCACCACCTTATTACTACAAGTCTCCTCCACCTCCATCTCCATCACCACCACCACCATATTATTACAAGTCTCCTCCTCCACCATCCTCATCACCACCCCCACCATACTACTACAAGTCTCCACCACCACCTACTAAATCACCTCCTCCCCCGTACTATTACAATTCTCCACCACCACCAATGAAGTTTCCCCCTCCACCATATTACTACTCCTCAACACCACCAGAAAAGAAATCACCTCCCCCACCATATCACTACACTTCCCCACCACCACCTGTTAAGTCACCACCTCCTACATACTACTACTCCTCCCCACCTCCACCTAAGAAATCACCTCCTCCACCATATCACTACACTTCTCCACCACCACCAATCAAGTCACCTCCAACAACTCCATACTACTACAAGTCTCCCCCACCTCCAACTCATTACTATCCTCCACATCATCAATTGGTGGTCAAAGTTGTCGGAAAAGTCTACTGTTTTAGATGCTATGATTGGAAGCACCCAAAAATGTCTCATGGAAAGAAGCACCTGAAAGGTACCATAGTTTTTATATCATGCCAGTTTTCTTTACTTTCTCTTAATTATCCAACTATATATTCTCCTCTTTGATGTTTTGTACTATATGCTATCATCATAATTCATAAACGTGTCTCTTTCTATTTGAATTTTCAATCCTCTTTTGTCGTCATCAATATCTATCGTTAAAATGAAGATTTTGAAACGTCAAGAAAATTTATAAGGCAACAACTATTTTGACAATTGCATGAAAGTAGTTAGTTCTTGCATGAAAGAGTATTTATTATGAGAAAAACAAGTTACTACAATTTTATATGATGAATACAGGGCATAGTTCTGGAGAAAGTGGGGACATATCTAAATGTTCATATGTTAGCAGATCTATTAATTGTTTTAATGTATTATTTCTGTTTTCACATGGATTTAGGTGCTGTTGTTGAAGTAACTTGCAAGGCTGGTGACAAGAAAATTGTGAGTTATGGTACCACTAAGATCAATGGAAAATTTAGCATCACAGTTGAAGGATTTGAATATCGCAAATATGGAGCAAAGGCTTGCAAAGCTAAACTCCACAATGCTCCAAAGGATTCAAAGTGTAGAATTCCTACAAACCTTCACTGGGGAATAAAGGGTGCTAACCTTAAAGTGAAGTCAAAGAATAACTATGAAGTTGTACTCTATGCAAAGCCATTTGCTTATGGCTCTAAGACACCTTATGCAGAATGCAAAAATCCCAAGCCTACACCTGCTCCATACTACTATAAATCTCCTCCACCTCCATCACCGACTTATGTTTATAAGTCACCACCTCCTCCATCGCCAAAGTATGTGTATAAATCACCATCTCCCCCAACCCCCACATACGTTTATAAGTCTCCACCACCACCTGCTTACTATTACAAATCTCCGCCGCCACCAACTAAATCTCCACCACCTCATTATTATTACGAGTCTCCACCTCCACCATCACTAAAACCTACACCAATATATTTTTATAAATCTCCGCCTCCACCAACTAAGTCTCCACCACCTCCTTATTTCTATAAGTCTCCACCTCCACCATCACCAAAACCTGCACCAATATACTATTATAAATCACCCCCACCTTACTACTACAAGTCCCCACCACCACCATCACCTTCTCCCCCACCTCCTTATTACTACAAGTCTCCTCCACCACCATCACCATCTCCTCCTCCACCATACTATTACAAGTCCCCACCACCCCCATCGTCATCACCTCCACCACCCTACTACTACAGGTCTCCTCCTCCTCCATCACCATCTCCCCCTCCACCATACTATTACAAGTCTCCATCACCACCATCACCATCACCTCCACCACCCTACTACTACAAGTCTCCTCCTCCACCGTCCCCGTCACCTCCCCCACCCTACTACTACAAGTTACCACCACCACCTTCACCATCTCCTCCACCACCCTACTACTACAAGTCTCCTCCTCCACCATCGCCATCTCCTCCACCACCTTACTACTACAAGTCTCCTCTTCCTTTATCGCCTTATCCCCCTCCACCATACTACTACAAGTCACCACCACCACCTTCCCCATCTCCTCCACCACCCTACTACTACAAGTCTCCTCCTCCACCATCCCCGTCACCTCCCCCACCCTACTACTACAAGTCACCACCACCACCTTTCCCATCTCCTCCACCACCCTACTACTACAAGTCTCCTCCTCCACCATCCCCATCACCTCCCCCACACTACTACTACAAGTCACCTCCTCCACCACCTTACTACTACCACTCTCCACCTCCACCAGTAAAGTCTCTTCCTCCACCCTATTACTACAGCTCGCCTCCTCCACCCGTGAAATCACCTCCTTCACCAGCATACATTTATGCTTCTCCACCACCTCCAACTCACTACTAAGTATTTCTAGGAGCACAACCATTCTCCTGAATAAATCAAGTGAGTAGCTATTTGAATTGTGATATTTTTTATATAAGACTTTTCTTTCTTCCAAATAAATCTCTAATCTTCTATTGGGTTGTTTCTATTCAGATTTCAATTTGATGCACAAATTAAAGAATGGTTTCTTGAGGGAAAGATTCAAACTCCAATGGCAGAAATCAATTAGTAATTTATTGAATAAGATCTTCTATTTTACAATTGGAAGATTGATACTTCATGACATGGACCAGTTTGCTTCAATTCTCCTCTTGCCTTCTTGCTCATTGTTCTCACTGCTTGTTCATGGAGAAATAGCTTCAGTAACTTAATTATTCCTTCCAATAAGTTATCAGTTGTTGGTTCTTGAATGAATTATTCCTTAATCCATTCATTTCCTATTAGTTATAATGTTTTCTTGTACTGTGTACTCCGTGTACAAATCATGAATAAGAGGATTAATTTTTAAAAATTAATTCACTACTTTTTTTCAATAAATGAGCCGGCCTATTTACACAATAACGTCATTTAAGGTAAAATTATCTTTTTTAAGAAACTTTGCATATGTAGCTGATTAAGGGCTTTAAACATTAACATCACAACTATTTGCAAGTTTGAAGAAGTGAATTTTGAATTCTAAATATATAGAACGCGAGTTTAAATTAAATGAGTGGTGTTGTAAAAACATGTTTTTTTCTTTCTTTTAAAAGCTCTTATATATAAGACTAGATAACTTATCCGCGTTTCGCGCGGTAATTCATGACCTCATTGAGATTATTAATGATTATTTTCTAATATCTAAATATTAGAAATTTGGTATTGTCACATATATTAAGAACTTGAAAGTTTGTAAAATTTTTACTCTTTCGTGAATTTTATCTTCTACATATTTACAATTATAATATTTGTTCTTTGATATAATTGTCTTCTCAATATTGAATGTTTTTTTCATAGATTAGTCAATAATCACTTTCTCTATTGTTACTCAATTTGATGGCCTATAATTTATTCTTTTGCCGGTAGCAATTAGTTTTCCTTGCTCTTTCATGTCATTGTCCATAAATACCCCTAAATATGCCATAATGTGAAATGGCGACTCGCCAAAAAAGAAGGGCGAACAAGTTGACCATCGCCGAAGGTGACATGACTTTGATTAAAAATGAAGGCTTAAAAAGAGAACAAAGTTGGTAATCAGCGATCCACCAAATGTGAAAGGCAGAATCGAACGAGTTCGCCAATTGAGGTTCAAACAACTAAAGAAAATGAAAGACGAGCTGAGGAATAGACAGCGATCCGTTGATCGTGTTCGGTGAGCCTGACTAATGTAGCTAAGTTTGTCATGCAGTGAATTTTAGGCCAAATTTTGGGAAACTATAAATAGCCCAAAAGAGAGAAAATATGAGTTCTTTTTAGAGAGTTTTTTAGAGTTTTTGAGATTCTTTTGTATGAGACTTCTTACCTTGTGAAAAACATCTTTAGTTTTAGGGTTTTAATTTCACTCTTGAAATTGACAATTTCAAGTTGAAATCAAAGTGGGTGTTGATTATAATTACTTAGTTTCATCACATTCATGGTTGAGCATGATAGGGTGTAATCTCTTTACTTTTTGTGATGGATGGTTAAACCCTGATTCTAGTGGTGTAATTATGGAGTTGGTTATTGATTTAATGTAGTGGTTATTGTGTTTTGCTCTATTTTATTGTTGTTTATTCATGGATTTAGGCTAATTAGCATGAGGTTAATTCATGGGTTAAGGTTGCAAACTTAATCCTATTTTCGATCTCCGATTGATGCTCAAAAGAGATCAATTGGAGTGGGGTAATTAGTTTAATGCATGCAATCTAGATTTGATTTCTATTGTTTGCTCGAAAGAGAGATTATGGTTCAGATCTATGTGCCCAATTCTGCTCGAAAGAGAGATTTCGTAAGGTAATGAGTTGATTTTTTATTCACATAGATGAGACCGAAAGGAGATTCTATGAATTGGTACTATGAGATCGAAAGACGATTAATGTCATTAAAGATGACTCAGCCTATCCATGATTGTTTAGCACTATTGAGAAACCAATTACCCATATGTGACATCGATTCCCACTCCCGCACCCCTAAAATACTTCTTAATTGCTTGAATTTTTTAAGTTTAGTTTAATTGTGGCATTTGATACTATACACTATTTTAGTAAATTTGGTAGAATCAGGCACCCATTTGTCTTAACGTGCTACAATGAATAGGTTCGCATTCCTAAATTTAGTTGAATTCTTATCATTATATCATTCCTAGTGGGATTCGTCCCTGATTCTTAATTGGGTATTTTATTGACGATGACCACTTACTCTTTGAATATGTTTTGAGGGTAATTTGAGTGTTTATCAAGTATCCCAAATCTCCTTAGCAAATTTACACTTAATATAATATTGATCATAATATTTATTGGACATTCCTCAAGAATACAATTCTTGCATAAATAATCATCATCCTGCCATTTGTCAAAAAATTTTAATCAGAGTAGCCTTGTCTGTTGCTATGTCAGAACCGAGAGCATTAGGACAAGGTCTCTCAAGAACATATGCCAACTCTAATCATCTTACAAAGAATTCCATCTTTCCACGTCATCTAGAAATTAAAAGTTTTTGTCATCAAATATTTCAAAGTTAGGATTACGCAAAGATGGAACACTATTCGATATTGATATGGATGTCATAGAGCCAACTATCATCGAATTGTTAGAACAAGAATGACAAAAGTACAAGAAATCCAAAACAAAACTTTCTTGGCTTAGATGCACGTTAGAACATTTCTTGAAGATAGTGGGAGTCTCTCCCACGAGCAGGGGCAGAGCTACAGTGTTATTTAGGGGTTCGGACGAACTCACTAGCTTTTGCGTAGACCCTATATTCATACTATACCCTGGGAACATTGACATACGATCTTTTCGGATTAGGGAGCAGAGTATGAACCTGAAACTAATATGAAAGAAAGTCATCAAGTGTTGCCTACGCGTAGGGCCGTCCCCCACTCCCGCCATGATCTGCAGGAGAACTGATCACTCATTCTTCCATTGGGGACAGGCGCACAAACGACAACTCCAAACGTCACACATCCGAAAATAAAGTACAAATATAAGTTGATGCTGTGTGCGAACCCATATCAAAGAAACGTGAATGGCGCACAAGGGCAGCAAAGGCTTTGATTATGTTTGATTGTGTGGGTTCTCGAGCCCCACTTGAATAACTATATTTTTTCTATTTTTGCTTAATAGTATGTCTTATGCCTATTTTCGCCTTCCTTTAATTCAGTTTTTCCGGATTTTTTTAATTTGCTTAATAATATGCTCGTGCCTATCTTTAACCCTTCTTTGATTCAATTTTTCCTATATAGATTTTTCTAAATTCTTTTTAAACAATAAAATAGAAAATTGATAATTGAAAATAATTATAAAAAAGTAGTGTCATACACTAAAACAAACTACTAATTTCAAAATAGATAATTATAAATAACAAAAAAAAATAGTGTCATACTCTAAAACATCTCACTATTAATTTCTTTTCAAACATTCAATAGATCATTAAACCCTAATTTGCAAAAATGTTAGGTCTCTAACTTTTATTGTCAATTTCATTGCTACTACTTGTTGTCGGAATTTGGACCTCTGCCTGGTAAGTACTATGCGCTCTTCTTAGTTGCTCCTCGACTCTCCCTTTTCTCTTTTATTTTTTATTTGTATTTACATTGTATTACAATTTATTCAAAATTCTTATTTTTAATCTTTGATTTGATTATAATAATTAAATTATTGTTTGCTTTCCAAAACTTCAACTTTCAAACGCAAGAGAGGCTCAAATGTGAATCAAGTAATACATACCTTTTCTTTAGGTCCCAAAAATATTAATGGTGAATTTAATAATTTTAATTTTACTTAAAATAATATTGAGATTATAGAAAAAATGTTCAAAATAATACTTATCTATCTTTTACGGAATAATATTTGAGAGCTTTAAATTAAATAACTTAAATTTTTATATTAACTAATGAAGTATTTGAAACTGTACCTAATGATACAATATCATTTACGTTTTCAAAACATAACAACTTGTCGAGTGCAATTATAATGATAGTGGTTATATGTTTAATTTGTAATTTAACGGTTGTTCTGTTAGATTAATATGTTGTTCTGTTTTAAAATTTAGAACCCAAGAACATCAAATTCTGGCTCCACCTCTGCCCACGAGCAAATGGAAAAATAAATAGTAGTACTACTCTATCTTTGAGATTCAACTAAGTCACAAAATAAGTGGCATTCAAGAATGTTGCTCTTCTATTCTTGAATTGGTGATTTCACCTTTTGATTAATGTCTCACAATTGATTTTCTACGGAAAAGTAGTTTTTTTGAGTGCTTATTTTTTCAACCAAAAAAACTCAATTTATAGGACAAAAGTTTTGTAAGAGAAGACTTTAATTAAATATATTATAGGTTCATGAATTGAGAAGAAAAACATATCTTCCAAAAAACTTATAACATAGAATTAAAACAAAATGAATGTTACAATTCACATTCATGTATTTTATATAGGGAAAAGGGCATGATATACCCCTCAACTTTATCATTTGGAGCTGATATGCCCCTTGTTATGAAAGTGGCTCATATATACCTTTACCGTTATACATACGGCTCACATATACCCCTACCGTTACGAAATGAGCTCACATATACCCTTCATTTAACGGAAGTGAAAAAATTAGTTTTAAATTTATATTTTTGACTTTTAAGTTTCTTTAAAATTAGTTAGGGGTATATATGATTCTTCTAGCAAAGTTCAAGGTATATTTTAATGTTTTTCATACATAAATTATTTTTTGACTTCTTTGATTATAATTATTTGAGTTTCTTATTCTTATTTTATTGTTTTCTTTCATTCCTTAGTGTAAAGAAAAAAATTTAAAACTATTTTTTTGTGGCTATATTATAATTTAATTTTTTTTGTCTATATTGTAATTTAATTTTTGTATTTGAAGAAACAAATTTGATCATCTATAATAAGTTTTACAAGAATATTAGTGAAACATAAATAAATTTGACCATCAAAATAATAAATTTAAATTAGTCATTGAAACAAAAAAAAGTCAAAAAAAAATATGTTTGAGGAGGATTAAATATACTCATATGGGATTATATTTTTATTTTTAAAAAAATAAATAAATATTAAAGTAAAATTAATTTTTTTCATTTCCGTTAGAGAAAAAGGGTATATGTGAGCTATTTGTAAATAAGTAGGGGTATATATGAGCCACTTTCATAACGAGGGGTATATCAGCTCTAAATGACAAAGTTGAGGGGTATATCAGACCCTTTTCCCTTTTATATATTTCAAAAACTTTTAATGGATGAATTTGTTTTAAAATCAATTTAAACCCTAACTCTTATATTATATTGTATTGGAAGGACAAATTAGCTGGTTTCTACTTTTGTCAACTGTACTATTAATTAGAAATTATGTAAAACAAGTAAATTTGAAAGACAACTTCTCATTATAAATATACTTATATAACGTTGTAACTCGATGAGCATAATTGTAATACATTGTAAATATTTGTTAAATTACTCTCTTCATCGAATTCCTTTTTGAGAATCAAACGATATCAATTTTAACTTATATTTTAAGATGTATGTTTTTATCATATTGATATGAAAAAAGTTGCAATTTATAATACTTAATTTTCGTATAGTTTTTAAATATCTAAAATTTTATTTTAAAATATTGAATAAATGTAATCTAATTTAGCTTTAAAAATTAGTCAAATTAACTCTCAAAAAGCGCAACATGACAATTAAAAAGGGAAACAATTGTTAAGGTAATCTACAATGTCACTCAAATCACCAAACAAGAAATTTGAACTCACTCTTTCTTCAAAATAAAATTACAAATAACAAAAGTAAATAATTAAGCCACAAGTTGAAGAATACAAATATTGGAGATGCATATTACATGAACACAAGAAATTTGAACTCACTGTTTCTTCAAATTAAAATTACAAGCTTCAATTGAAAAACAACCACAACATGAAGAGAATACAAATATAAAAAATGTTGGAGAGACATATTACATGCACACAAGACACCAAATTAAGAATATAACAAGTGAAGTCTCAAATTAATATTTTTGTTCACACTAAAGTAATTGAACTCATAATAGTAAAATAAAGTCCATTTACTCCAACATGACAAAAAGTAATTTATTTTACTAGTACCTGTATATTTTGTTGTTAGAGGAAGATCCAATTTGTCCCATAAAATCAATGGAATCAGAAGCATTTTTCATGCGCTGTAAGAAGAGATTATTCCTTCTTTGCTGCAAAAACATCTCATTCTCTTGTTGTCGTAATGCAGTTGCTTCCTCTTTCTGTCGAACTTGTTCCTGCAGCTGTCGAATTTCTTCATCCGCCTGTCCAGACATCTCATCTTTTAAGGAGTTAATGAATGTTTTTACAGAATCAATCTCAGAATTAGCCGTTTTTAGGAGTTTTTTCTTAAAGAAAGACAAAAGATGATGTTCATTATCATCTCGTGATTTGGTTTCATAAAGATGAGCACAGTTTGCATGGATATTGAAGTCGCAAAGTGAACAATTGTAGGTGAAAGTAGGACTGCAGGATGTGCCACAAAGATGGCATGGGGCATTGGTGCAGTTGGGCGGATAGAGAAGGCGTAAGGCGTGTTTTTCATGGAATTTGTTTTGAGTAGATTGTGGGAGGTGAGAGCATGATTTGTGAAGGTAAAAGTTGCAAGAAGAGCAAGTGTAACAAGAACCAAAGAGGGGAAGGTTGCAACCAAAGCAAGTTTTTGATTTTGTTAGGTTTTCACTTGGTACCTCTATCGTACGAAGATCATGTGGATGGCTAAAATGCTTCATCACTCTTCAAAGGAATAAGTGTGTGTTTGTATCACGGACTTAAGAGTCTCACTTATGTTCCGTGTGCCAATGTGTGTCTATGAACCTAAGCCAGCCTTGATATTTATACTAAAATTCATGAGCTAAATATGTTAGTATTCTTTTAATTAAGTCAAGATTGCAAATTTGAGGAATTCCACTACTTCTCAACCAAAGAAAATGGAATTTATCTCTATATATATTCAAGTGAGCTACTTCCTAACAACTACTAATAACTTCATACATACATATTCCATCTATTGACATGTACAAATTAAGAGTGTCAAGAAAATACTGCAAGTTGCATATTTTAGATGGAGTACCACTTATTTATTTATTCTTTTTTTTTTAGTACCACTTATTTGATTATCAACTACTGGAAATTAAACAAACTTTGAGGGTGGAGTTGGCCTTATCCTTAGTTGTTTAACCAAATACTATATAGTGAAGTTTAAGAGAAATTTTAGGTGACATGGAATTGAAGGATTTGTTTAACTAATACTTATCTATCCATTTTTACTTGTCTAATATTGACTTGACACACCGAAGTAATGCCTAAGAATGTTCAGTAGCAGCTATATGTATCTTTACTTCTCCTTTTAAGATCAACTCATGATCATCATACCATATATATAAAATTTAAAGTGTGAAATAAGTAAAATCTATTTCCCACTAATAATATCACCTACATGGACTAAATCATATTCCCCACTAATAAATATTACTTATATGGATCTTCTCCTTTTTCCATTCCATTGTACCCTCTTTAGCTAGATCTACATTGATCCTAGAAAATTATAGGTCTTGTTTGTGGTTGTGCTGATGTAAAAATAATGTAACTACCATAGTTTTTCTTCTTTTTACATACTAAATTTATTTATACATCTCAATATGAACTTGAATAGCTAAATGGATGTAGAAGTTCTACATAGCCTAAAAAATGATCAGAACTCTGTCAGCGTGTATACCAACAAAAGCAGATAAACTCCCATCTGATCAAATAAATTTCCATTAACTGCTCAAATGTTTGTCATGTTACAAATAACATGAACTATGAAGAATAATCAGCCAAGTGTTTAAATGGGCTACATGAAAAAGAATGGAACCCCCAACTAAGGTATTGGTGAATCCCTACATCCAATAATATAAATCTACATTTCACCCCTCGTGTACACGGCACAGATGTAATTCAGCAATGACAGGGCAGCTTCTATACATGAAATCGATTATTAATTTACGTACCACATTCTAATGTACCAGCCCCGAGGCTACGAAGGTCTTCTGAGGCTCAGAAATGCATGCACCTCATCCTGAACTTCAACAGCCACCTCCACACGATATCCTGTTTCTCAACTGTCATGCAGTGTGGAGAAGTATTTCTCTAAGCATGTCACAGAACTGCACGGCAGTCTTTTCTTCTAATAGCTACTTATCTTACCACCACCATGATTTTAAATGATACTTGATATTTTACTCTCATTAGATGGTTCTAAGCATTCCCATGGGTTGGAGTAGAAATAATCCTCTTCTTTAGGTCGGTCAGGAATAACCAACCTCTTAGCAGGGTTTCCCATGCGTTCAGTGTGAGCTTCCTTAACAGCAGCAGAAAACTCATTCCACATAAACGATCCAGCATTATACTGGTCTATCAAATCTACAAGGAGCTTTCTGTCCAGCAAAATCGTTTTCTTGAATCCAAGATGTCTGCATAAAATGGGAGACTTTATCATAGAAGTCCTTAATCAAACGCTACTTATAAAGTACATTCTCTACAACAGAAGCTAAAATTGAAATGAGACAATTAACCGGGGTACAATATTTCACAACAATATGCATCTTTAATGAAAAGTTACTTATAAATCATGCAAACCCTATTAATTTCTTGCACAGCTTGCATAAATAGAGAATCTTATCAGCAGAAAATACCTGCGATGTCCTTCAACAACCTTAGCCATGTTTCCATCATATGTTGGAACAAAGATATCACTCTCCAGTGAAACAAGATAATCTAGTGCTGCCATCTGTGAAGAGTGATTTTGAAAGAACCTAAGCTCAGAAGGCTCTAGTAGTGTCTCCTTCCGCACCTGCTCATAACAAGAACCAGCACAAAAGGCGAGAGTCAGCCAATTCAGGAAAACATATTCCAAAGCTTAAAGGAAAACTGGAGCTTTCTAGCTACCAAATTTGGATAAGCTGCCGCAAGACTCAACATTCTCCTTGTCCCACCATAAATCTCCCCAGCAGCAATATAAACTTGGATGCTAGAATCAATGTCTAATGCCCTTAAAGTAAGAGCAGTCTCCTCAGGTGTCAAAGGACAGAGACCATCTCTTCTTTTCAATTCAGAGTTAATGATTTTTTCTTTCCACCACGGATAAGCATATCTGTAAAAGGATTAGATCAGACGAAGAAAGAGGGATAACTTAAGGCCACTGCTGACTACAAGCTATTACTTCACCTCATTCTTGTCAACTCTTCAACCTCCTCCTTGTTGCAGCCCTGACTACAGCCAGAGAAAGCTAACATATCCATTTCATACCTCAGGTGCAGCACCATAAAACGACCCTTTTGCCTGAGAAGTCGAATAACCTTTTCACCCAACTCTTCTATCTGAGGGGTAAATTTTAAGGCACTAAAATTGACTCGGCATCGCAGTTTCTGAATTTCAAAAGGTTGACCATTATTGGCAAGCCGAGCATCAGTTCTGTTCAAGTGAACAACTTTATATTTCCGAATCAATGGAAGGACCTGTATTCAGCAAATGTGACAGTCATTACTAGGAAAGCGGCTGCAAGTATCACGTACAACACATTGTGACATGAAAGAACAAACCTGATCTTGGTAGTAAGAAATATCAGACCAACTAATAGGAGGCATGGTATAAATCATTCCTAGCACTACTCTCCTCTTCAGTCTTGGGGGTAGCTCTTTCAATATTCGAACTTCATCCCTCAAGGACGTTATAAAATGATCAACATCAAATATGTCTTGAAATTCACTGCAACTCAAGATTGCATTTTTAAATTGTATGACAGATCATCATACTTTTTCTAAAGAAGCTAGTGATTCATAAGACCACACAAAAAAATACAAGAATTTCAAGGACACACACCTCGGATCAGCCCAAAAGGAGGTTTTATCCAGCTCGGGCACTATAAGAGTCACATTCAAATATCTTGCTATAGCAACCATATCACATATCTGGAACAACAAAAAAGGCAAAGAAAAAGGGGGAAAGTCAAATTCAGAATGGTGTAATCTTGTCTTATTACATCCACATGAGAGAGCAAACTGATATAATCTAAAGTAACTCACTGCTGCTCGCATTTGATTAAGACCTCCATTACATGAAACCATGAGATAACCATTATTCTGGTAAACCCCTGAATTAAAAAATAATCATCAGAATGGTCAGTCTCGCTAATTGTTTGGATTAGAAGTCACAACTGTAAATCCATGGGGAGATATGTGACAGAGCAAAAATAAAACATATGCCTGAAGGAAATTGCCCAACAATTTTTTCGTTCGTATAGAATAACTGCTGACAGCAACTTGAATATGTACCTCTTTTAGTTATTCAGCTAAGAAATCCTAGCAATATACTCAAACATCTTAACCACATGTTTCGAAATTCTATACTATAATCAGCATCATGCCACAAAAACTCCATGATTGGAGAAAGATCTCTTCATTAACAACTCCTCCTTCAACAATGTGCATACATAACATTAATCTATATGCATCAATAGTTTCATATTTTCTCTTAGGAAAAAGCAGTATTCTCTTTACTATAACACAATTTCCATGGTTGTTTCCCTTTTGTTCATCATCCTGACTGATAAGGGTGGGCATGATATGGTATTGAAAACTTCCGTTTTTGGTTTTTAAAAATACTAGTATATCATTACCATACCAAATTAAGTGTACAAGTACAATAGTAGAAAAAAGATGCAATCTATGGATAGTAATCAAAAAGGAAAGAAACAAAACTGCTCACTCTTTGGTGGAAGTGATTTAACAAGAAATGATGCAGCAGACTCGTGAGAAAAGCAGCAAGGCCATCCACTAGGCCCCAAAAGTTCCCCCAATGTCGTCAATTGTACCAAGCAAGTCCACAATAGGACCATTGTTGTAGCCCTTATTATCCATAGCTTCACTCTGGACCGCGGGAAAACTATACAACTCTTCAGTTTCTCCACACGACTATCTCCTAAAGCTGTCCCTTTTAGCCCCAATCCCCACCTCCTTCTTCTCCTTTCCCTCTCTTCCATTTCTCCCTCTATTCTGCACATATCCCTCCCATACACTCTAATTGCAACATCCACTATGTCCTTCCCATAATGTAGGATCCTGAAACTCGCCACTTGTGTCTCACGAATCACTAAAAATAGGATGCAAAATAATCAGTCCAAGTCCATTTTCTTGATAAATTGAACAAACACAGAGATAAAACAGAATGACAGAGGAAAATGGTGAGATCTAAAGGGATTTTCTGGTGTAATCCAAGAATCTTGAAACGCCGGTAGATGAGGATGAGAGTAAGAGAGAGAGAAAGAGACAGAGCGCGATAAGCACGCACCTGCTGTATCGTAGGCTAGAGAATGGTGTGCCTAAATGTAGCTGATTATTTCTTAAGGTAATTATCTCATGTGGACAAGTTCACATTTCTTTAATGTTCTACCTATGCTTTTCTTGTGCTGCAACTACATGGATTTGTTAGAGCAAGTTATATCTATATCTATAGTGACAATAAGATAGAACTAAATTACTCCCTCTTGTTTGTTGGTGTACTTACCCGACTCAAATTTTACACCTTGTTTCCATGGTTGTGGTCCGTTGTATTGTATTGTATAGTTAGTCTAAATATAATATTTATTTTGATTGTTACTTAAATTTTATTATATCGTATCGTTTAGATTCATTGACTCATTTTATGTAACGATCGATTTGGTGTAATCGCATCGTAACCTTAATATTTTCTTCTCATTTTATCTTTTATTTATTATTTAATAATTATATTTCATATTTACCTTATCTTTTCATAGTAGCTCTACTTTCCTTGTAGATTTATCATTCAATTTATGAAATTCATGGTTCCCATTTATGCTTTCTAGAGTTGGATCAATGGAGTTGGACAGAGGAGTGAATATTTCAGAGCATCTATTGATTGATTTGGAAAATCTGAGAGGATTAGAGAACATATCAGGTTCTGTATATGAGAGCTCAGTGTTCACCGGACAATGTGTATATAGAGAACTTATCAGGTTCCTCCGTGATAACACATTATTTTCCCTGCCCATATTCATCTTTATCCTAATACTATAGTCTTTGAATTATGTTCTCTCTAATTGACCAAGTTTTCCCATCATTTTATCGAACAGAAACTCATGTTGGGTTAGATAGAATCAGGGCATCATGTGGAAGTTTATAATTGCAAATATAATCAAAATGGTGATAAATTAGATGATAAATAAATTACACTAAAACATATTATTATTAATATGGTTTATTCAAAAGACCAACATATGATAAAACTAATATGAAAAAACATAAACATGTTGGAAGAAAATCTCCCCTCAAACAAAGCTCTCTAGACGACTACATTGTGGATGTTATTGTGTTCATGATGTGAGAAGAGGGGTCTTCAATTTATAGAATTCCAAACTTTTCCTCTAAGAAAAGAATAAACCGAATAGGAAAGAAAATTATATTCTTCGGAGAAGTAAAATCAATTATGGTAATACTTTAATTTTTCCTTTCAGAAAAGAGAAACTCAAATATGGTAAGAAAATCATGACAAATCCTAACAAATCTCCCATTTTTGTTGGATTTTCTTGAAAAAGCTAGATTTGTCTTCTTCATTTGTTTGATAATCTTGTTATTCACAAAATCTTCATTACTGTTACTTATCATGATTTAAAATAAGGTTTAAAATATATAAGTTAAAAAGAATTTAAAAATATTTATTTTTATTTTTTGAAATTTTAGCAATAGGAATATTGAAAATATGGTTTAAACTTCTTCTCCACATGTAATTGGACAAAAATCTTCTTCATCATCAATTTTGTTGCAAATTAATTTGAAACCACTTGAACATGTCTTCAATCTTGTTCAACCATGGATCATTGAACCATGTGTTATGATATTACTTGTTGGATTCGAAAGAATCAGGGGACCATGTGAAAGTTTATTGTCACGCTCTGAACCTACACCCTAGACGTGACTGACACTCGAGAACCGTTGTTGATCACCAAGGAATACCCTTGGCCTGACTAACTACTTAGCGGAAGATTAACTCAAGCAGATATAAGCTTTAAAATAGAATTTAAATTCAAAAGTCTCAAAACTTCTCAAACTCAAACTATCTCAAAATTGTGTGAAAATACTCTAAAAACAATAACAGGTTACCAAAATAGTTCAAGGAAAATACTAAAAGAAACTCAATATTAACTATATATGCAGCCTTTACAGCTCAACATGGATGTCGGGACAAGACTCATGACACATCAAAACTACTAAACTGAAAGACAAGAGTGGAATCCATTGGAATGCAAGAAAGTCTCACCAAAGCTAGAAAGAAATGCAAAGTGATCTCAACGGAGCACTTGTTAATGATCCTGAAGACCTATATCTGCATCATGAAAAGATGTCGGTCGAATGACATCAGTACATTGAATGTACGAGTATGTAATATAGCTGAGGAAAATAAATAAATGAACTAAAGAAGCTAGAGCGAAATACTCAACTGAATGTAAAGCATAGGTATTCATCTCTGAACTCAACATATTAAGTGATGTGATAAAAATATATTTTAAACTCTATTTGAGAGATTCTTTAATCGACAACCATCACTATGAGCAACGTGATGATACAACGTCTCACCCACGTTGTCAGAACTGTCATATATCTTACTTGGATATAAAACATCTCAACTAAATGGATCCACTAAAGCTCTGTTCAAAAGCAATAAGGAGTCGTCTAAAAAGTACGATCATTTATCCATGTTGGCTACATGGTTTATGAGGAATGTGAGTTGTTTGAACCCATCCATATATCGGTGTTCAATACTAGTCCCAATAAATATACATATTCATGCTCAAATGTTAAAACATACTCTTTCTCAATTTGAGGTAATTGCTCAAAATATTCTCTTAAAAGAGGTAACTGCTCTGAAAATATCTTTAAACTCATTAACTCATTTAGGAATCAATATTTCTCTTTTCTCAATGTAAAAACGGATATATTTGGGAATACTTAGTTCTCTCATACTCTTACCCAAATCATGTTTAAAAGTACTCTTTCTCAAAACTCATCTTAGCTTTCACATAAAATCAATTTAAGAAAAAAATGTTTTCTTTAAAATATTCTTGAAAATTATAACTCAAAATAAGGTTCATGCTGAAATATGTACATGAACAAATCAACTCAGGGATCTCAATAGCAATATAGAAAACTCAATACTCAGAAATCAAGAACTCAAAGCTCAACGATACTAGTTATCTCAAGAGTACTCAAAATACAAGATAAAATCCTAGATTACTCTTTTATTGAATTTAGATATATGTAGTGTGTGAGGATGAACTCAGTTCATCACTATGATAGACTTACATACCTGAAAGAACAAAGTTGTTGGCGAAACTGGAAGAACGCTTGAAAAACCTAGTCTTCTCCTCTTGGATCCTTGCTCTAAAACTTGGAAGCATTAATGAACGCAAAAAGCTTGATTAACACTATTTAAATCCTTAACTATGTGTAAAAACATCATGGTTTAGGCTTAGAAGAGGTGAGAAAGGACTAAAGTACCCCTTCTTTAAAGCTGAAAAAACCTTCTACGGGTCCATCTACGGTTTGTAATTTGTTTTACGGACCGTAGATCCCATATGTGGAATATATATTGAATTTTACAACTCAAAATCTCATTCAGCGAGTGCAATCTATGACCCGTAGAAGTTTCTACAGCCTGTAGAATGGATCCGTAGGAATCAGACCCCAAAATCTGACTTCTCTAATGTTTTTGACGAGTTGAAATAAGGATCGTCGAAATTTCTACGACCCGTAGAAGCAAGTCGTATGAATTGTCTCAAGAAATTCTGATGTGACAGTCTCTGGTAAAATGGTCATAACTTTTTATTCCAAACTCAAAGTGAGACAAACTTGGTAGCGTTGGAAAGAAGACTCAAAGGCCTTCAATTTGATAGGTTATGGGTCACCTAATTCATTTTTTTGTTGAGAGATATGATTATTTTAAGTTGACCTAAGTAGAATCTTATGTCAAAACTTAATTGGTAAGAAAGTTTTCAACTCAACTTTGTGTTGGGGGGGTTCTTCTGACCTTAATTCATATTCAAATTCATTCTCACACTAAAGAGTTTACCTTTACACATATGATCAATTTAAGAATCACCCGATACGACCTTATACGTAAATAAAGAATAGTTCGGGTCATAACTTAAAAAATTTCAGGGTGTAACACTTACAATTGCAAATCAAGACGGTGATAATTAGATGACAAATAAAATTATACTAAACACATAATATTATTAATATGGTTTGGTCAAACGACCTACATATTATAAAACTAATATAGAAAAAACATAAACATGTTAAGAGAAAACTTTTCCCTAAACAAAACTCTTTAAACGACTATATTGTAGATATTATTGTGTTCATGATATGAGAAGACCCCTAGAAATTCAAAATTTTCCTCTAAGGATAAAATAAACCAAATATGGGAGAAAATTATATTCTTTTTTCAAGAAAAGTAAAATCAATTATGGTAAAGCTTTAACTTTCCTTTAACAAAGGAATAAAACTCAAATATTATAAGAAAATCAAGGTAAAACCCTAACAAAAATTGCATCTATTTTTGAATAAAATGCTTAAACAATTTTGTGTGCAAAGATTAGAGATGAAAGTTGGCTCTAATAAACTAAACAAAAGATGTTGGATTGAGGGTGTGTTTGGTTTCCAATTTTCTCATGTTTGGTTGGGTTAAATATTTTGGAAAATGTTTTCCAAATCAACTCATTTTCCTCAAATTTAAGGAAAATGACTTTTCTTCAAAACCTAAGGAAAACATTTTTCAAAACTCTCTATCAACTTCAAATTACAATTTTTTTGGTTGAAAAAATCAATTTATTTTGTCTCTACCCTTAAACCACCCCCCCCCCCCCCAAAAAAAACTTATTTTTTAAAATGTTTTAACCTTCAATTATTTTACCCCACCCTCACCCCTACACCCAGCCCCCTACCACCACCACCCTCGAAAAAAATAATATTAAAAGTTATTTTTAAAAGATATTATCCTATCCTCGCCCCACCCCCCCCACCCCCATCAGCCTCCTACCCTCGC